ATGTGTTGGGCTTGCTTCCTACCAGGCTTCTGATGGTTTTTTTTGTTATGAATCTCTAATTCAGGAATTTCAGCTACCCCAGACCATCGAGCCTTAATTTGGTGTTGATTTCAACTGATACAGTATTACCACATTATGCTTTTCGCTAACACCGTATCTTCCTCACTAGGAATTGATATGACACACTGGGATACAGTACAACAGTAGTAAATACCTAACATAATTGGTTGATAGTTGACACAATGGGATACAGTACAACAGTAGTAAGTACCTAACATAATTGGTTAATAGTAAATAGGTAGAATTTAAAAAACATTTACAATCTCAGTTTTTAGACAGCAGGTAAATTTTCGAATACGAATAAACTTATTGGCATTATGAAAAAAAGTTTAACAATGGTGAGTGGTCAACCTCCTATTGGTTGTTCGACAGGGAACCCGAACGTTCACTCTTATTGATTTCTGGAGACTCCAGCATGTTCAACTTAAGTCATTACATGGAGTGTGTCATGCCACCTTTTGGAGAACGATTACGATTTTAACACTATGTACAACATACTCCATGTACAGGGTAAGGGACATACGTTAAACCTGCTGGAGTCTTTGAAAATCTATAAGGGTAAGTGTTCGGGTTACCTGTTGAATGAACAACACAGGAGGTAGACCATTCACCATGGTTAAACCTTTTTTCATAATGCCAAAAAGTTTTTTAATATTATAAAATGTCCAAACACTGAGATTGTAATTGGTTTTTTAAATTCTACCTGTTAACACTGTTACTATTAAACAATTAAGTTAGGTACCTACTACTGTTGTACATAAGAACTGTAGCCTAGTGTGTGATATTCATTTCTACCAAGGAAACTACGGTGTTAGCGAAATAAAAAATGTTTGTGAAAATTGCTTAAATATTATCATGGATAGTGTTAATCTTCATCAAACAATGGGTCAGTCCATTCATAACATCAATATCCTCAATGGTGCTATGATTTACTCTTAATAATGAACTAGAATTTCTGTTTGTTCTGTGTTAAAATCTGCATGAAATGTTTCTTTCTACAAATTTACCAATAATTAGTACTTCAATCATAGAATTCTGCTACTGCTGTTTATCTGTTTTGCTTAAATCCATAATGATAGCTCAGCAGCGAGTTTGGAATGTTTTTGAGTAATGAATCTTAGTAAAATGTATTGGAACTTCGGAAATGTAACATAAAATATATATATAATGAATAAAACTAATAGACTGAAGAATTTCAAAGTTAAGATATCCAAAAATTAATTTCGCATTCGAATCTTTTCTCAGAAGCATCTCACTTACCTGTATGTCAAACCATTTCCTTTATTTATCATTTGTTTGGCACTCATTCCATCTTCTAGATCAATATCCATATCATTTTGAGAATTGCCAGCCATCTGGAAAGTAAAATGAAGTATTACACTATCAGATATATCATTTAACTTTCAGTTCCAAACTGAATACATTGAAGTNTTCTTCTCCTGAGGATGCTAATTTTGTTGGCGAAACGCGCATCGAGTGCAAAAATATCAGTTTGGTGTTAGGGCAAGTGATGTCAAAAAAAGTTATTCAGATGGAAAACACTTTAATGAAATAAATAAAACACTTTTGTCTAATTACCACTAATTGATTTTATTTATACGACAGGTCTCGGGTTTGACCCCATTATCAAGTTAAAACTTATGGAAAAATAACTTATAATGAGGAACTGAGCTCCCTTTTTACATCAAAATGTGCATCTATTCTTAGAGAATACAAAAATGTACTCAAGTTATAAACTCACAACATGACTCAGGCTCAGAGTTATTTTTTATTACTCTGAGGACTCAGATCATCATCCCTTTCTACAAAGACGTCATCTAACAGTCAATCCACGATCATTAAAGATAAACGAGGCTTTCATGGTGGTTCGTTGCAAAGATAAGCTTCGGCATCGATCTCTTCACTGCAAGGCAACCGCCGAATGCGATTTGTCCTATAGCTGCCTTGCAGAAAAAGTTGCAGAGAAAAACAGCTTCGTGACAGCTTGGCTTTGCAACATACGCCTTGGGAGCCTTATTTTCTCATTTATCTTAAATTTTCGTGGAATGGGTCTTCTAACGCTCCCATAGATGGCGTCTTTGTGGGGGGAGAGATGGCATTGCCTTCACTTACCCAGTCTTGTCTTTTATGGACAGATGAGTCATGAGTCCTGTAATGCATTCGTGATTCAGCCTACTGATGATGAGGCCTAAGGCGAGTCGAAATAGCGTTATCTGGTGTTGGACCATGAATGTTTTGTTTTCGCGTTTTAATCTATTTGATTTGCAGTGAAAGACACAGGACAATTTTCGAATGGTGGTCTATGTCAAATCTTGGCTTTGCAAAGGACTAACTTGGGGAGTCTTGATTTATCTTTGATATTAGTGGATTGAGTCTTCTGCCGATCCTATATAGATGGCGTTTTTGTAGAGATGTCATTGTTTTTAATTTCTCAGACCTGTTCTTTGAAACAAAAATCCAGGTAAATTATAGGTTCAACCACAATTATAATGCTAAAGAACGAATTATACTTGTGGTTTAACCTAGCAGCACTGATATGAAATCCATGGCAGATCGAAATAGTACTGCTAGGATGGATCATGAATGCTTTGTTTTTGAGTTCTGGTATTGATATTGAACAGAGAACGGATCAAGCAAAAAAGTATTGGAAATGTTGGGCCCTTGAAAACTCTAGGTTAATTACACTATTAAGTTGCCTTCAAGGGGATAAATGATAGGTACAAATAAGGCACTGTCATAAATTGCAGCAATATGTAAGAAAGGTTTATGATCGTTTTGTGTGAAAACGTTGCCTAATCCCTTTGAGATATAACAATTCACCACATATTGTTCTGCTTCAAATGATCTTCAAAAAAGGTCCTGATGACTTATGTCTATCATTTAAGTATAGTTATACCCATTTTGATGTTAAAGAATGGTCAATCGATGTGCTAATTTTAAAGCTAGACAGCTACAGTATTAATCCTCATTAACTAAATACCTTAGTTACCTTAAACATTTCATGCACGTTATAATTACCCTTCATTCCAAACTAATCAAATCAAGTAACTTAGGAGTTACTGCAAAATCAAAACTATCATACTAGGAAATGAATTCAAGTGGCTTCTCAAAGCGATATGACACAAGTAATCAAGAAGGTTGCAAATGCGTTGGTTGTTTCATGTAATGAATGACTTTGAAAGTTAAGGCTGTATTTATATTTTGTGTTGTCTTCATGTAGATAAGTACAAAATTGAAACCTTTAGTCATCATTGACCAAATGTCCTGGTATGTTTAATTGGTATTGGTTCAATCATATTTTGATTCAAACAATTATAGGCATGGTTAATACTATTTTATATACAATATACAAACAGTAAACGTATTATTTAATTGCCAGGTAAAAAAATAACTCAGGAAACCATGCTCACAGAAGTTCAGCAGCAATTAACATCTCTTTGGCATTGGTGGTGGTCAGGCTGAAATAATTATTAGTAATCCATTACTTACTGCAAAGAAAAAAATGTAAAAAGTGAACCACCCGATTTGACTAGTCATGCTTTGATTATTTGGAAAATTAAACTTTAATAAAAACTAAGAAATATATATCTGACATCAAAATGGATTAAATAATTAGGTCTACTTCATTGGAAAACAGTTTATTTCATATAATTTAAATCACAATTTGTAATGTAAAAAGTATAATAAAAATTGTTTCATAAAGGGAGTTTCACTAGATCAAATAAGGTACACTATATACAANACAAGTGTCGTGTTATCTGCCAGAACCCCCATTCCTTACGGCTTTGGTAATAAATATTCATTGTTTGAATTTTTTCACACCCTAAAATACCTGTTCAAAATTCGTTATGGGCTCTCAGATTATATGATGTTTCCTACATGAACTGGGATTGTTTCGCACACATAAGGCAAATCAATATAGAAATTAAAATGAAATAAAACAAGGTAAAATGTCAGAAAGAGGTAAGAATGACTAAAAAAAAATTGGTAAAGGAGAACCAAACAAACATTATTGATTATTTGAAATCACATGAAAATAACTTATCAAAAATGAATATCAATGTCCAATGCATCTATATGTACATTAGGGAATACATTTGAATGCACATTAAATTGCATCTAGCAAAATACCTCTCAAAGTTTCGCAATAAAAAAATGATAACAAATGGTATGTTTATATAAATATGTTATATACATGAGAGAGTTGAGGTCAGATCATATCTCGAACACATTCAGTATCTAGTTCTTGTATGAGGCAACGCATAAATGCCATCTCCTTACGTGCATTATCGAACATGGTACGGGGATCACTAGCCATGCATCGTAAGCAGTTAGGCGCAAACACCATAGCCAAATTGGACGCATCCATTTTAGTATGTTGTATGACATCAGGTTTGTTGAAGGTTTGCAAAAACCGAATTAAGTAGCATAAAACGAGTCTATGCAGAGTAGGTAAACGTAGAACTAAATCACATGCACGACGGGGAGTCATTGGCTCAGCTACACATTCGGGATAGAGAGAATCAGGTATTAGTGGTTCATACAGTTCACGGAGCCAAAGTTTGAGTAAGTTGGCTGGTACATGAGCATCACTAGGTTCACTTATTTCCCAAGCATCCATTTGTGCCTTGAGTCTATTCACTTCGTCAACGTCTGCTGAAACGCGAAAGATACCTTCGGTTTGTAACCCTTGAAGTTTCAGTACTTGCTGAGAGAGTTCCACTTGTGGCCAAGGCAATCTACGACTTGGCCACCGACTAGCTTGTAGTTGCATTACCTCACGTAATGTATTGCCAAACAAACTCGCTTGAAAAATTTGTTTGCGAGCGGCATCAATGTCATCTATTTGTGGGCGACGAGCTGTTCGTTTTCCGCCTGTACCTATTCGTTCTAGCCGTTGACAAGCTACTGTTGCGTAGTGGTTTACCTAAAAATGAGATTCAAAACTAAAATAAATATTGAATTAATCAAAATCATGCATTCTTGTCAAAGATATACAATCAGTGAGTTGAATCATAAATTTTTGGATGGTTCTATTCTTAAACCTTCAATTGGTTTGTCAGGTGGTAACTATTGCTAGATAATGTATTAGATTGTACCTAAATTCAATGATTTCTACAATTCCTAAAACAGGGACCAAACTATTTACAGTGAGTATGTTAGGTAACTGGAAATTAAAAAACATACTATGTTTTTGAATGAAATAACTTCTCCAAATTCGTTTTGGGTTAATAACGTTTTAATTTGAACTTTTTCGAGAACTCATGGGAAGTGTTCGAGCAGAAGTGAATGGAAAAGTTGAAACTATATCCTCCTTAATTGCTGGTAATATAATGATCCAGAATGATGAGCATGTTGCTTAGCAATTATAGCACACTGCAACAATAGAGCTAGTGGATTAACAACACGCAGAAAAAAATTCTTATGTCGAGAGAGTGATAGCTGTCATTAAATCATCCAAAACCAAAGTGAAGTTTATTAATTTTATTGTTCATTTATGATTCGATCTATGGCTTGTTTTTGTAAAATAAAACAATTCAGATGTAACTAAGTACACTTATATTAGTTCAAATATTTCTATAGATCTTTCTAGGAGTTCTCATCTTCCACAATCTGAAAACATAAAATAGGCAAAACTACAAAAAACAACATGTTACTCATGAATAGAGCATTTTTATTTGTGAATAATACATTGTATTTATGTAGTAAATTATGGAAGGTAAGAATTCACGAAGAGATGGTCTATAACTAGTTACATTTATATTTTTATATTTATGTTACTTTTATTACTTTTGGATGTTTATCACTGTTTGTGTTATTGTGTTGTTTATATTATTTTGACTGACTTATAATATGGTTACATATTATTTGGACTGACTTTTATATGGTTACATGTAGTTAATTACATTTATATGTTTTTACATTTACTTTTATAATTGACATTTTCTTTGTTTATTGTGCATTGATTTCTGTCAACTGTACTTTTCAACCAATATTATCATTATTATAAAAACTCAGATTTCCTTCATAAAACAATGACTTGTTCAGATGTCAAATAACAAAGTAAAACATACATGGAGACTGGATAATTTTGAACGAAACTCTTTGAATAAGGTAAACAAAAATATCACTACTATCAATCCAAATGAAATCAAAGTCTTATTTCAAGTATAGCTGAAAATGTCAAAACTCCACCAGCATGCAATACCAATACACCAGACTGTTCAACTAGTTTTTCCAAAACATGCTTCCTGTACTTAATGGACATGTAGTGGATGCAAAACACAAGTTGTTAACATTCATCATTCATCAACCTCTGACAGTTCTTATAAATTGCTGTTCAGTAGGGGACACTTCCCAGACGTATTAAAAATTAGCAAGGTAGTTCCCATCCACAAAAAATGAGATATAAATTCCTCTGATAATCACCGACCTATTTCAATTACACTGTTTTTGAGAAAAATCATTCAAATTATCGTAAAAGAATGACTAATGCTATTTTAGAATAAACCCAATATTCTATAGGAATGTAGGTTTTCACGGCTGACGTCAATGTTTTGGTTGGTTTCCGTGGGGTTTTGTCGTAATCTTCTTTGGTTACAACCTCCAAACTTTTCAACTGCAACTCGGGCAGTCATCTTCAGTGGCGTGGTCGAAGTACTCTTCTTGACGTATCACCTAAAATGTCAGTTAATATGTCAAGAAGAGTACTTGGAACACGTCACTGAAGATGACTGCCGCAAATGCAGTTGAAACGTTTGGAGATTGAAACCAAACACCACGACAAAACCTGGAAACCAACCAAAACACAAACCCAATATTCTGCATGAACATAAATTTGAATTCATGGAGACCATACTATTGTAACATTGTGGGACCCGGGAAAGGCTTTTGATTGTGTAAATATAAATCATCATTTACTACTAGAGAAACTTGAATTCTGTGGTATTAGAGGATCAGCTTTAAAATTCTTCTTGTTTTATCTCCCTCCTGAAAAGCAGACAATATACATTAATGGTAATTTATTAGATGAAAGGCCTAGCATCATGGAATACCTCAAGGATTCTTGGGTTCAGTCCTTTTTGTAATATACTTAAATGACATATTCTACTACCTCTCACCTAGTACAGTAATATGCTTTCCCGATGACACCACAATGTTATAATCTATTTCTTATTATCTCAAATTTATTTGCAAATGCCAAGGTAGAACACTGGTTCGCATCCAACAAACTGAAACTCAAGAAAAATCTCAAATAACTATATCTTCCAATACCACCATAACAACCAAAGCTCAAGTCAAATTATTGGGTATAATCATAGATGATTTGCTTTGATGGGAATTATATATTAACAATCTCTGTAAAAAACTCTTAACCAAGTTGTTTTTACTTCACCAGTTGAAAAAAACATTGAGCCATAAAACACTTCTCACTTCCATCGTTCCCTTTTTCACTGTCCCCTTTCATACGGGATACTCGTTTGAGGTAGATCTACTTACTCAATTAGAGCCTCTCGCATGCAGAAAAAAGCCATCGGAGTTATAGCTGGATCTTTATTCGACGCTCACTATCAACCACTTTTTAGAAAGTTGGAAATAATGTCTTTGCTCTGCATGTTGATCTTCTGTTAGAAATACATAAAAACACTCAAACACTCAAAAACCACTCAAACACTCAAAAACATCATAACTTTAAGATTAGAAATTCGTTGAAAAAGAAAGTCAAAGAGTACCTCATAAGAAATTGTTTTTATTCTGTACTTGATTTCATGCAAAGTACATAATCAGACCAAATACACTGATGATATTTCTTTATTTCTCACATATACATGTATTTACATATTTAAGAAATTTTTGATAACTCCATTCTCTATTTGGTTTCTATTGTGTAAATCATTTTTAGGTTTAATATTAATGTTTTCATATTGTTCACTCTATTTGTACACTAATGTGTATCAAATGATTATGACACGTCACAAATGTATATCCAAAAAGTGATAAAAAAAAAATTCAACTATCTGCCTATTTATCTATCTAATTCAAATATATTTTGAATATTCACGACCTACAGACCGGTTTAGAGGTATTATCTCTCGTCCTGCACTGACGAGTGCACAAATGAATACTTATCACATACCTTGACAGCTTATGCCTAGATAGAGAGAAAAAATTGAGGATTACATTATTCGGATTCAACAAAGTAAAACTCTACTTCGATTCATGAAAAAAGAGAAAAACTTGTGAATGATAACAAAAGTCTTTGAAATGCCACCTAAGGAAACAATGGATTTTCATTGCAAGTGTTTATTGTTTCAGATTTTTTTCAAATGTTTGACCTCTTACAAAAAAAAAACTTACATTCAAGTCTTACAATATTCATTCCATCCTTAACAATCTTTCTTACTCTAACAAAGTCTGAAAATGATTCAAGCGGAAAAGTCAAGTAACAGCAGCTCTATCAGTTATAAATTCTATAATCAAACTGTTATCCTAAGTGAACTATTTCAAATTGAATGAATTGGATTGAGAATCACATCATTCTGGAATTTTTACTAGAACTACAACAATAGTTAGAACCCTGTTTATGAATTTATACTTGATGGTGTACCTACTATTAAAATATATTTGCATCATACTTTGAGCTTGAAACCAAATCGTTTCTTCCGATGACATGAGTATTCAAAACACAAAACAAGCAAATTATTCAAATTAGAAATGAATACTAACCTGTACATGTGTGGGCCACCTGTTAACATCTGGAAAAACACGGGAAAAAGTGGGATTCCTATGCCTATTGAGATATCCCAATAGAGCTGGTTGAAATACCTGACTAGGTGGTATGAACGCTAGAGCAATGGTAAGTAGTTCCCATCCTCGAACAAGTGATTCCTTCCTAGGATTTTCTGTTGTTTGTCTGCACAGTTGAACAAATAATTCATCTCGAAGTAGTGCTTGGACATGGGCAGTTCCAAGTATTTCCATCAACAAAGAATTTAGAGATATGCCTGGTCTAGCTTTTCTATCGCCCATATACATTTGTACTTGCCTAAACATTTCTAAAGCTTGTCGAGCCACAGGTTTACTAGATGCCAGTAAAGGTCTTTGCAGACTTCTTGCTGACCAACTAAGAAGATCTCGTACACTAGCCTTACGCCTGAACAACCCTCTACCACCTAAATTAAGATTGTTGACTGCAAATTTTTCCATATCAGCTTCTCTTTCTGGCTGCAATGGAGGTTCAGCAAGAGGTTTCAGCAACGGAACTGTGGGCCTTTCTTTTTCTTTCATTTCTCTTTCTCTGTCTCTAGACTCTATATTGGTGGCTGTCGGAAGATTTAAATATTCCACAGGCCTGTGTGACAAACGATGAGGCAAGTAACTTCCCTCAGATTGATCAGAGTCTTCATTATCGGGTTCATGTCCGGTGAGAGATTCACTTCCACTGTCTGAATGGTCACTGTCAGAGTCACGGCTATTATTGAGCAGAAAGTGCTCTAATGGCAGAAGTTGAGAGTCATGCCAATTAGAGTATAATGGAGCTTCTGCACCTCTTTGACTGAAGCTACTACTTCTGCACAGGTCGCTAGGTTTGCGGCGCAGTTGGGGTGTGCTTGCCGATAAGCTCAGAACCTGACCTCTTTCTGTTAGATGTCCAGTTTGTGTGGATTGATGATTTGTGGCAGTTGGAGTACAGTCAGTGTTATGTTTTAAAGTTTGAAGTTTAGCTAAGGGTATAATATCACAATTTGTAGGCTTATGCCAAACAGTCCTTTGTGATGTAGCATTGTAATAATAAAATCTTGCTGTATTTTGATCAAAAAGTTCCCACCACTGGTTAGAATCTGTTCTTTTGACAGGTACCCCTTCCGGAGGATCCCACACACATTCCCCTGTAGCCAAGTTTGCATACATATGTTCTTGAGTTTTGGGCTCGATTATTTCTACCCATTCTGTCCTGAAAGAATATTTGATTTAAGATGGGGTGTGTCGATTAAATATTGATTGAATACCTGCTGTATGAATTAGAAGCCATATTTTTACATCGTTCCTTGAACTCATATGCACTAAATTGTTGATATGTCAGACATCATGTTGATACTATTTTATTGCTTCCAGTATTCCCCCTCATGTTGAAAATGGATGAGGTGATCGTGAAAACCATAACAAAAACATAATTTAACCACGGAACCATTCTATACCCTATCCGCCATTATTTGTTTTACTGCCAACCTTACAACCCAGTTTCTACATTCCCCTGGAAAAACGTAAACAAATTAAATATTTGGATTGGCTCTAGATTACAAATTTAGCTCATGTGCTATTTTAAATGATGTAATGCTTAATAGAGTCCAGTGATCTCATTTTGAATTCATATTAATTAAGTTTCCTTTTTTACTTGGAAACCGTGTTTAAATATATTCCAAGAAAAATATGTACTTATTATTTTGAGAAAATGTAAAAATGATAAATTCAAATAATATCAGAAGAGTTATTTGGAATAGTAACTATATTCAACTTGTGCATTTGAAATTATTGTATAGATGAAATATATTAAAC